CACCTTGCCTTAACCACATCGTTACGTTCACGGTCTCGAACGTTTACCGCTGTAGGGGCGCTCCGTTTTCAGAAACAAATCTCATGGTGGTTGTCAAGGGGGCCCCAACTCGTGGTTTTGGCCACCAGGGATGGCACTCCCTGCCCCCACACTAGTTACTTGACTGGGGTTGGGACTTGGGAGGAAAGTGTTGGTGGATCGTGTCGATTTGTGGAACTCCCAAACCTCTCTTGGCTGAGAGGTGGCTAGGCAGTGGCAGCGGGGGTTCATGAACCCGTCTGTGTAAGTTATTAAGTGTCACCCGCCTTACAATTGTGATGTGGGTTATCCAGGTACAGTACTCCACTTTCTTCTCACGCAAATCAAAGCAGCCCTTAAATCTAATTTTTATTGTTCAAATGTGCCAATGCAGGACCCTTCTGAATAGGTCGTGAGACTGTGAGCATTTCGTGGATAAATAAACTACATTGCAATCATTGCCATAGTTTCAAAGAGCTCGCGAAAAACTCAACACGGACAACCCCCTCCCCGCCTGCAAACTTCCACGAATCTTAGGGCAGACGTAACAGAACCATCAAGCGTGCAGACGACTCGATGCTCGATTCACGAAATACGGAGGAGGAGGAGGAGGCATCTTGACAGAGATGCACTCTTGCCGGATTAAGCTAGAGCGGGGCCTGTAGCATATGTTATAAAGGGGCCCTATTTTTTTTTAAAACACGTAAATATTAAAACACCAATTTTTTACTTGCATAGTGAAGTTATTGCATTTTTTCATTTGCTACACAACCAGATAATACGGCAAATCGCTAAAAGTTGAAGGCAGTATAGTGCTATAGTAATAGAGCAAGTGCAGAATCACTGATCCGGAATTGATAGCTGGAAAGCCTTTAGCGCGGGGCCCTTGAAAGTGCGGGGCCCGTAGCTACATGCGTAGCTACTTGTGTAGCTACATGTGTAGCTACATGTGTAGCTACTTGTGCTACGAAGATCATCCGACACTGACTCTTGCTCAACCGCTGCACTGCAGCAATATCAGCCGTACGAAAACGACGAGTGATTGTTTAATGCTCGAACGAGTTATTTCGTAACGCACGACAATTTTCACGCTGTACATTGAGCTTGCCAAATGTACAATCAGCACTGATGCATGATCGTTAGTTTTCAGTCATCAATGACCTCAAAGCTTCAGTGATGCAATTATATATATATCTGTATCGGTTTGCTTTGTAAACATCAGTATTGGAATAAGTTCTGTTTACACAATTGTAATAACCCCAACAAACTAAACACGTTCATCTACAACACTGTCTTCAAAAGAAAGGGAACGTAATAGGGGACGACGATTAAGCACGTTTGGCAACGTACGGTGTGAAAGAAGTTCAACATACATACGTTCGGGCAATGACCCTTCTTAGAATAATTATGATTGAATTTTATTTAGCGTAATTAATGCCAATTGCACCCCACAATGCTTTTACAGTACGTTACTTATATATGATGGCCAAATCCTATACATAGCTACTTCCAAGCAAATGAAAACCCCTCAGAAAATAAACATGAATACACAGGTAAAGATACGCCACCAAAACAAAAACTGTGATCACAAGACAGAGATAAACCCATTAATTATCCACATCCCAAAGCACAGTGACAAACATGTCGCGCAAGCCAGGAAACCTTCACAAAAGGGGTTCCCAAAAGGGTTACGACTAATTTAGACCAAATCGGTCAAATGTCCAAAATGTGATTTACTAATTTAGATGGATGAGTAGGGAATTGCAAAGGAGTAAATTTGAAACGACACCAAGAAAAGACACCAAGGATTTTTGCACACAGCGTTGGTGTACGGTGCTTTTTCTGGAAGATTTTGCTGTTTTTACCTGGATTTTTCTGTTTGCGCATAGTCACTTTACGATGTTTTTTTGTTCATGTTTTTTGTTTGTTGCGGTTGCACCCGATTCAAGAGCCGAATGGCTCACGGGGCTATACCAAATAAATGAAACTGAAAACTGATGCCGTGCGGCTTTGTACCGTATTTAGCATGGACGTGGATAAATGAGAGAGGAGGATATTCGAAATGTGGAAATCCCAGGCAACATTTGGCGGCGTCGGCTCAACAGTTCCAAGCACAGTCCAACATGGGCCCCAACGTCTGCACGTTTCACGGGGAGGTTTGGTTATATGCGGTGGCGGCATCGAATGGAGAGACATCGGTGGCTCGGAAAGAGAGAGTGAGAAGGAGGTTCTCCAGTGGGTTCAAAGGGAGAAGTGAAATATCAAATTGGAACAATTCACAAGAGGCAAAAACAACTGGATTGAGAAAAATCGTCAGAGGCGACGGCCCTCTGGGGGAAAGATGTTTGGAAAACATCCCAGAGGTAGGAGAAGGAAGGTACTGCCTCTCAACTTTGAGAATGAAGGCTGAGATGACCAACTTGAATAGGGAAGGGCCACATCGGATAGGTTAGGAGTCGCCAACCAAACTAACAATGAAGAGTCTTCTTGGTTCTTTCGGTAAAGTCACGTAGAAGGGAAGTAATAAAATAATAAAAATAAAACATAATAAAATAATTCTCACGACGTTTCGGCCACAACGCAAGCAGCCGTCCTCAGGTGAAGAATGAAACACCACCAAGCTTGGTGTGGCCGAAACGTCGTGAGAATTATTTTATTATGTTTCATTTTTATTATTTCATTACTTCCCTTCTACGTGACTTTACCGAAAGAACCAAGAAGATGAATCCCTGCAGTCACGAAAGCTTTAAATCGAAATTTAACAATGAAGAGATTTAAAAAAAAAATCTAATTAGTTAAACAACAACAACAAAAACCGCTCAACATTTCAAGAAGTAGCCCTTAAAGAGCCGTAGGTTTTGCTGACCCCTGAGATAGAGGGATCGGGAATCTTGAGATGTGAACACCACGTGGAGGTGTCGTTTAACAAACACATTCCTGCGGAGGGAGCTGGTAGGAACGTTGGGTTGCTCGGTCAATGGCCAGGGTCAACGGCGGCGTGGTGTATTCCGCAAATATGACCGACTGTGAGGGCAGGCACAAGCCGGCGTGAGTAGGTTAAACGTTGAGTTTTATAAGGGCACCACGAGGTGACCAGCCCCTCCCCACCCAGCCCCAACCCTCCCACCCAGCCCCACCCAGCCCCACCCAGCCCAGCCCCTCCTCACCCTCCCCACCCAGCCCCTCCCCACCCAGCCACACCCTCCCCACCCAGCCCCTCCCCACCCTCCCCACCCAGCCCCTCCCCACCCTCCCCACCCTCCCCACCCAGCCCCACCCTCCCTTCCCCACCCAGCCACACCCTCCCCACCCAGCCCCTCCCCACCCTCCCCACCCAGCCCCACCCTCCCCACCCAGCCCCACCCTCCCTTCCCCACCCAGCCCCACCCTCCCCACCTAGCCCCTCCCTGCACGACGGACGGACACAATAATCCCCTGTGCGCTGGTGGAACCAGTGGGTTCCTACCAGTATAAATACCCGCTCATGGTGTTCCAAACGCTATCGTTTATATGTACAAACACACACCACACATACGTAAAACATAAATATTGGGAAATGCGATTATGTAATTCAGTGAGGCGAGATTGAACTTTGATTGTGATCATTTGGTTGGACGTCACAAAGTCTTTGACATTGTCCCAGTAAGCAACTTTGGGCCAGCGTTGCTTACTGCTGAGTCGGAAATTAAAACGAATTACCCTACAATCTCGTAATCCATTACAAAATCCACGAAATGTGGCCAGTTACCCGGTTATTTTTACGCACAACCCCTCCCAAGGTGTTTAAATGTATGCGCTCACAATCAAGTGTAGCGGAATCCCAGAGTAAATGAACATTTTCAACAAATCTTAGGTCGGGCAAATTCCAAAGATTTCATAATTTTAAATATAAAATGTGCAATCGTGAGCGATATATTTTCAATGCTGTTTGTTGTCAAAGCTATTGTGAAGTAAACAGTTGTTGTTTAAACATCGGGTGTGAGGATGAACTTCACTCTGAACCATAAAGAAAGGTTATTTATTATGTTTTATTTTTATTATTTTATTACTTCCCTTTACGTGACTTTACCGAAAGAACCAAGAAGTTGGCAGCTGTGTTGCATTTACGTATTTTAATTGTAGCACGTCCACGAGGAAGCTGTAAATGCGCGTTATAAAATCTTTAATGTAAAGATTTAGATTCGGAGCCCCCCCCCCCTCATTTCACCCCCCCCCCCCATTTCACCCCTCCCCCCCCCATTTCACCCCCCCCCCATTTCACCCCCCCCCCATTTCACCCCCCCTCATTCCACCCCCCCCCTCATTTCACCCCCCCCCATTTCACCCCCCCCTCATTTCACCCCCCCCCCATTTCACCCCCCCCCATTTCACCCCCCCATTTCACCCCCCCCCCATTTCACCCCCCCCCCATTTCACACCCCCCCCTCATTTCACCCCCCCCCCTCATTTCCACCCCCCCCCCCCCATTTCACCCCCCCCCCATTTCACCCCCCCCCCCCATTTCACCCCCCCTCATTTCACCCCCCCCATTTCACCCCCCCCCCATTTCACCCCCCCATTCACCCCCCCCACATTTCACCCCCCCATTTCACACCCCCCCCTCATTTCACCCCCCCCCTCATTTCACCCCCCCCCCCATTTCACCCCCCCCCCCCATTTCACCCCCCCTCATTTCACCCCCCCCTCATTTCACCCCCCCCCCCAATTTCACCCCCCCCCCCATTTCACCCCCCCCCCATTTCACCCCCCCCCCCCCATTTCACCCCCCCTCCTCGTCCCTTTTTGGCGGGAAAATCCTCAACCGAGGCGCGCCCTTTTTATATTTCCCAGCGCGCGCAAGCAGCGCGAGCCACTCCGCGCGTTCCCATTGGTCGACTGTGGCCCGTGCGACCCCTCGCGCGTCACGCCCCCTCACGGCGACCAATGGCAGCAGAAGGGGACGCGCGAATGGGGCGTCGCGTCGCGCACCTGCACTGGGAAATCAAATCGCGTTTCGAGAACGGCCATGGCGTCCACGGACTGCGAGTACCTCGAGTACCTGACCCCGTTCTTCTTCTACTTCGGCGTGGCCGCCTTCGCCTACTGCTTCCTCAAGCTCGCCTTAGCCACCCTGGGCTGCTTCAGAGTTCACGTGCTGGGAAGCCTGCTCGGCCCGGCTGTCGACGTGACCAAGTTCGGACGCTGGGCAGGTGGGGTTGTTCTGACGCTCTCGGCCTCGCCGCACGGGGTGTCTCTCGCCCGGTATAGGCGGCTAGTCGAGGACGCTGGGCACTTGCCGGGCTAGGCCTCTGCGGGGTTTTTTGTTGTTGCCCGGGTGGACCTTAAGGAATGGGACCTCCCTTGCAGGAATGTCTCCACCGTCTCCTTTGATTCATCTCGTCTGTGCCGTCGTTTGCAAGTGTCCTTTTCACTGTCGCGTCTGTCTAGTTTGTATTGTCTGGCTTGTTTTGCACAGTTTAGGTTGTAGTTTTCTACAGTCTCGCTTGCAGTGGCTAAGCTCCATTGATTAAATTATCTACTTCCCATCTGGTGTCAATGCTTCTCTGCCATTCCTTGGCTCGTGCTGTCAAAGTTTGTTCAGTTCGTTCAGACCAGTGTCCAAAAACATTAACATAAATATTGTATTTATCAGAACATGTATTTCTACGTGTACACGTGTATGCCCATGGCTATAACACGTGTTGTAATAAAGCGTGGTGTCAATGTCCATGAAGTGCCCTCCACGCATGCAACCGGTTTCCGTGTGTGACAGACAGCTGGCATAAACGTACGACTTTAATTATTGTAACCGGAGGGGGAATTATAAAGACTAATCCATTCTAGATTAATCTATTGTTAGTAGGCAGCTTAGTCAAAAGTCGAAGACCAATATTCTGTTTTAAATGTATAAGTTGTATTCGAATAGTGTTTGAAACGAGGTCGGCTGAGGCTGGGGTCGATAATAATTGGATTGTCAACTTTGACCGTATCCGTATCAAGTGCACACACTTGCGCAAGATTGTGGCTGGTTGCATACAACGCGTGAAATAAAGTTCACCTGAGTGTTTAAGTTAAAGTACAGCGAGGTTAACAAGTGCAGGGAGAGGGGGGGACATCACCCTCCAGTAATACGAAACTAATTGGAGAATGCTGGTGACCTGTAATGATGAGTGTGTGGTTGATGGAACCAGAGTCTGATTTGTCCACTAACTCATCGATGACAAAGGACAAGACAAGGTCGTCAAAATGCAGTCCTCGTTTGTTGCCTTGATTTGTTTTCCCATTGACACTTTTTTGTATTATCACCAAATGCTAATTTAGTTTAAAAAACGCAGAAAAATATCGTTGACCCTGAACATTTTGGTGGAGAGGGTTTTTGCAAGAACATCTGTTCACATATCAGGTGTTGTTGAAAGCAGACCCATAGATCGAAAGCAGACCCGTTGAAACCAGACCTACACATTCGTCTGGAGTTGCGCAAAAGCCACACGATGTGGAGCTTCTATTTCCCGCTCCGCACAGAGATTTCACTCGAGTACATACATTTTTGTATTGCACCCATAGGCGCATATGCTGCCACCATTTCTCCTTCAGCACTTTACGTAAGCACGAGTTTAGCGTTCTGGAATATGGACTCTAGGAAACTGTTGTGGTACGCTTGGTTCGTGCCTTTCCATCCACAATTCAATTATACAAATTACAAATAGTGTGTTGTATGTGCCTAACGGCCGTTGGCGCCTTTGTGTATTGTGTTTTTTTTACATCACTATACCTGGATTTAATCGACCTTTTGGTTGCTTTCATTTTTGTCAAATTGAGCTGTCTGTATTTTCACTGAATCCTTGCAACTGTAAGAACATTTCCCATCATTATTGAGACCGATGGTCGCAAAACAACAAGCAAAATGCTTTGATCAGTACACAATGTTCCTTTTCAGCAGAACTCTATTAAAATATACTATTGGCTGTAATGTAATACATATGTATGGCTGTAATACAATAACTATATATGGAACATCAAATTAGTAACCCGTTTTTCCTGTTTACATTTTATCAAAATACTCTTGCTTATTATAAGCACTTGTTGCATATTGCCATGTGTCTATCTCAATAATTTACTGGTCAAGGTTTACCCCCATTCGATAAACAGAAAATACACAAGTAAAAATCTTGAGCAAAATTCAACGATATTGCGTTTAATTCTAGATTTGAAGCTTTCGTGACTGCAAGGATTCATATTCTTAGGTTTTTTCGGTAAAGTCACGTAGGTAAAAAATAAAAATTTATAAAAGTAAAATAAAATAAAAATCACGACGTTTCGGAGGCAACACCATCGTCCGTCTTCAGGTGGAACCGTCACAGCCACGACAGCTGTATCAAGTAAATGAGAGATTACAAGAGCTCTTATAATCTCTCAGAGCTCTTGTAATCTCTCATTTACTTGATACAGCTGTCGTGGCTGTGACGGTTCCACCTGAAGACGGAAGCTTGTGTTGCCTCCGAAACGTCGTGATTTTTATTTTATTTTACTTTTATTAATTTTTATTCTTTACCTACATGACTTGTACCGAAAAAGCCTAAGAATATGATATTGCGTTTGTTAAATACAATTGTTAGTTTATATTCTATAGTTATATCACAGTTCAGGAATATTGTCTACCATTAATGCATGGATTTAGTGAATTCCAAGGATAATCTTTGAACATTTTTGGAATAAGACCTCTTTTAGCTGTGAACTTATTGAACTTATTGTCCATGCTCTATGGACATTTGAACCTTATAGTACCCCGGCCCTCGCATAATGTCCGTGATGCAGTGATTTTGATTCTGTTGATGGTCGGCGATGTGGCAATCGACTCATCTCGACGAGCTGTACACTACGATGCACCATTATGGTGCGTACCGCGAGCGTTCAGGGTGTCAGCGCAATCGTCCTCGCTGCATTTCGACATCGTGGAGTAGCACTGATTTCGGATTGATTGGTACCCCAGTCGCGGAGTTGACGTACATCCCTGGAAAAAATAGTGTCCCAGAAGTAAAATATTTAATTGCCTCGGCAATTTTGTATTATTTGGTACCCCGGGGTAGCGCCATAAGGATCATATACTCTTTTCCCTAAATTTGAGTAGATTTTTCCTCGACCATATCAAAGAGTAATTATATTTTTTTATTTCAATTATCCCTAAGCAGGAGCCTTGTTAATAATGTTTAAGGTACATACATTATGTTAATGTAATGCAGTGCACATTTGGTGATTTGGCTTTCTACTGAGGTTACAATTACAATATACATCTGATAACGAAAGATGTTAGCATTCATGTGTATTGCCAGTGTTCATTGTGGCGCAGTATAATTTTGGTTTAAGATGGTACACACGCATCAATAGTTTGCTGGCATGTGTACAAAATAGGTGTAGTAGGTGAGTTAAAATTATTAAGAACACATGTTTAGACTGAGTCCTGTAAATGACTGCAGTAACCAGAAAGCGAATGTTTTTGGGGGCTCACCGTTTAAGTGCCACCTGGTGGTAAAACTGTAAAGAAGTAAAATCCGAGTGTAAAAACCCGTTTGTCAAGTTACATTTGACTGCACGTCTGCATGGAGACCAGTGCTGGGTGCTACCTGCCGGAATGGCATGCAGACACCACAAGGCCACTGTGGATGATTCCTGCAGAAGTCACAATTTCGCATTGGGGAATTTCAATACCAAAATCTATCTTCACTTGTTAAAAAGATTCTAACAGGAATTTTGCCGGAGAAAGAATAATCAAGATGCATTTTATTTTAATGGAGACAAAGTAAGGACAACTCTTTGGTTTTTTCGGTAAAGTCACGTAGGTAAAAACTAAAAATAAATATTTTAATTTAAAAAAATATTTAATTTTTTTACTTACTTGACTTTACCGAAAAAACCCAAAGAGTATGAATCCTTGCAGTCACGAAAACTTCAAATCTAGAACAAAGTATTGGCCATTGATATTAATATTTATTTTTGTGTATAGGAATTACCCAGTAGATTCATATTCATTTCAATGACTAGTTCTGAGTACAGTATATTAAAATGAATAGGGATTCTTTGACAGTCTAATAAACGTTCAGTAAAGAATCCTCATTTAATATCAATGGTGATTCCAGAAACCCATACTTGTTGTCTGAATGCTATGCCGGAATTAGTGAGGAATCGGGCCAGTTCCATAATTGTGATTGAAACATTAGTTAGGTTAAAACTTGATTTGAAGCTTTCGTGACTGCAGGAATTTGTCTCTATTATTTTACTTATTTTCTTTCTACTTGACTTTACCAAAAAAACCAAAGAGATTAGTTAGGTTATCAGTCATATGTTTATATGCCGATTCCAATCCCCATTGATGCTTCCTTCTTGCCTCAAGGCCAAGCTTGATTCCACTCAGCCTGCCCTCACACACTCTGACTGATCACCATTGAATTCCATATTCTGCCAGGCAATTTATAAACTTTAGAAAACAATCCAAATTATTTTTACAGATTAGCCTTTTAGGGGCTCTGTAGGGAAACCACCCATCCAACTTGATCCCTCAGTGCCATTTCGTCAGTGTAAAAAGTGTCTTCTAGGCGCATAATAATGTTTTTCATCCCCAAACGGGAGCTTTAATATCTGCGAGTAAGTAGAGGCACGTTGCCTTAAGTGGAACCCAAGTTGTCTCGTAGAGTAGTTTACAGGTCGTTAAGAGCACTTAACAATTTTTTTTACTGCCAGGAGTGGGTTATTCGCGTTACTGTACACTCCCTGGATGGCTGTAATTTTCTAGTGAAAAAATTTGAGCACCCGCTACTGTTTTTGACTTTTTCACAAACGTGTTTTGCAAGCGAGTATTGCACTGCGTGCGGAGGCCTCGCAACTTGGCGTGAAGAGAGATCAGACGCGACGGTCCGCAGGAACAGCCAGGAACGAGTGCATTCCCCCGCAAAATAGCGCTTCCTGAGAAATCGCGAATCCCCAAGTAATGCGGCAGCAGACGGGACCGCGCGGCGGTCGAGCGTCTCGTCTGCCGGGCCCCAAGGTGCCCACGATTGCTTGCGCCAGGGAGATGTGTCACCACCCTCCCCCCTCCAAGGTGCCGGTGAGACATAGGCGTCCTGGAACTGTCATGCGATCCCTGCTTGCGTCACCCAGGTGACTCGCACCAATACGGGGTAGAGTGCTGTGGAGGCTTCGAGAGTGGCCAGGAAAAGGCTCTGGGCAAGAGCGATTTCAAGAGAGCCAGGTCCAGGAGGAACCTGACTCCATAAGGGGAGTCGGGTCCAAGTCTCCAATAATTTCTAGACGGTTTAGGGCCATTAAACAGAAGAGGAGGCCACCATTATGGGCAGGTGTAGCCCTATGGGAGCTGCACCGTGTCCTGAACGCTGTCTTCAGCCTGCCTTTTTAATCATTGGCTGCGTGCTTGGAGCACCTGGTTACACGAAAAATGTTTTTTCTCTGTTGGTTATAACCTCCGCAAGGAGAGTTAGAGAGCTGCAGACCTTGATGGCATTTCCACCTTATTCTTTGGATCTTTTGGTAAAGTCACGTGGATCGGTTCAAATAAAATATTCTATCTACGTGAAAAAATCTTGACTTAAAGCTTTCGTGACTGCAGGAATTCACGTAGATATATATATTTTTTTTCTACGTGACATTACTGAAAGACCCAAAGAATATGAATTCCTGCAGTCATGAAAGCTTTAAGTCTGCATTTCCACCGTTCGCAATTATCATGAAGGATACGGCGATGCTGAGAACCTCCCCTCTGTTTATTCAAAAATTTCTGTCATAATTCAACGTGAAGCAGGAAATTGTACTTACATTTTTACCCCCAGCTCCTTTCTGTTTGCAGGCGAAGCTAGGCCACACAGGATTGACCTCGTAAGGGCACTAAAGTTCTACCTAGAGATATACAATTCCTGGAGGATGTTGAAACAACATTTTATTCTTTATGGTCAACTGAAGAGGGGGATTCCGATGTCAAATCAAAGGATCGCCGCCACCTGGGTGAAGGAATGCATCCAAGAGACTTACAGGCTAAAGGCCCAGGGCCAGACTAGCGGTTGTAACATTCATTCTATTAGGGCAATGGCCGTGTCATGGGCCGGTAGGGCAGGGGTGCCACTGGTAGAGATTTGCAAGGCAGCAGTGTGGAGCTTCCCGCATACCTTCACAAAACACTACCGCAGAGAGACGCCTTGGGGTCACGAAGAATGGCCGTTTTCAGCGGGGGTGTTGTGTCGGCGGTCGTACCCTAGTAGCAATACCCGAGAGTCATTCAGGGGTTGTGGAAAACCTTTCCCCCCCCCCCCCTTTTAGGGGTTCAATGGTGTCGGTGAACAACGTATGGACAAGCTAGATGTTAGTACTTACATTACAATCTGGTTTTCATAGGTGGTCACTGACACGCTCCGTTTCCCGGCCACCTTCCCCCTCCAAAAGGTTTTCCCTCTTAAAAAAAAAGGGAGGGGACGTGTGGGGGAGAATATGGTTGGCAATTTTTAATGGGTCCGAGATGGCCGTGTTCCACACATTTGGGCCAGCTGTTTCGTAGGGCCGCCTCGGTGGTGGGACGCCTGGTAAGCAGGAGGTCGTGGGTTCGATCTCGACCCAGACACCTGTATATGTGGAGTTTGCATGTTTCTCTCCCTGTGGTCGCGTAGATTTTTCTCCGGGTCGTCCGTTTTCCCCTCTGCATTTAAAATCAATATGCGTTAGATTATTTGTCTGCTATAAATGTTCACATGATGATAAGCCACTTAATTTAGCTATAATTTGTGGCCAGGTAGCTTCTTGAAAAGGGCTATATACCACAGTGGCCCCTACCTGGCAAGTTTTTTTTTTTATTAATCGGCTTTAATGCTTAGATGGGAAAATTGTCCAGTGTTTCTCACAGAGTTCTGAATTTTTGACATGACCCTCTGACACCTAGCTGTGGGATAGTTACGTCACTTACGAAATGACGCGGAGGGTCACATGAGACGGGCGGTTTCCCCTGCACAGCCCTCAGGGGCTGATCTGTCAAAATAGTTTGATTGATTCTTGAAGTTTCTGAATTGCCTGCCGCAGGATCGGTCAGACCGCGTCGGTGACCACCTGTGAAAGCCACGTTTAACGTGGCTTTCACAGGTGAAAGCCACGTTTAACGTGAGTACTAAAATGCAGTTTCGAATTGCCATTTCAGGGTAACTTATTAAAACCATTTACATTGTGTTGGTTTTCTCAGGAATCATTTGAACAGTGCAAGGTTCAGAGTTTTGTGTGTGCATTTGGTGTTTAATTTTGCAGGTGCATAGGTGTTCAAGGACAGTCAGCTGACTAGAATGTTAACTGATAAAAAAATGAGCTTTATCGTTTGTTTATTTATTTTAAATGTATTTTCAAACAGGGCTTGATTCACATCTTGGACAATTATACTTTGGTAACAATATGCCAAACTCTCCATTCCCAACATTGTGGAATATTACCAAATTTATGTTTTAGCTGCTGTGTAAATATGTGAATTTAGCCCATACCAGCATATGCATGGTTCACGCTTTGAGAGGATGGCGCTTTTGTAGTGACACATTTATTTATTGTAAATGATCATGTATTATTTTTTTGTACCCAATCAACTTCATGAGTCCTTTACATTTGTACTTGACACAAACTGTGCTAATGTACAAAAAATGTGAAATCGAATCGCAGCTTATTATCTGTCTGCGTCAGAAAAAGTATGGTTTTGTTTTGTTAGTCATGGCAGTTGTCAACACGTGAATTCATACCTGTTATGCCTGTCAACTCGATATAAGATTTTAGAGGTTGTGTTAGAAGTATTAATAATAGGAGTAAGACTTTATCTCACCAGATATAAAACCCATTGAGCCATCAAGGCCAGGATTCGTGAGTGATTGCCACCCACATTCCCCCCCCCCTCCTTTTCTTCCCAGTAGTGGCGCGTTTTTGCCTTTTTTTTCAGGCCAAACCTGCAGCCAGCGTTTAGCCCGACAGTAATGTAAAAAAAACTGCAACACATTTTATTTTACTAGGTAGGGCCTACTGAGCTATAATAGCTGGTATTTTTTTGGTTAGTTTATATACAGCTCTTTTGTTAATTTCTCTTAGACATAAAATGCCGGCCCGCCGGTCCAATGTTATTCTTAACAGTATGGACAAGAGACTCATGTTTTTGTACCAAGGTATAAAAACGCCTCGTATTTCCCTTCACTGTGGGGCCTACTACATTCCGCTGAGGCAGGAGGTGGAGCCTTCGTTGGCCAGATATGGGATGGAGGCGGGGCCTCAACCAAGTGGGCGAGAGCAGGGCTATCCCAGCACCACGGGGAAAACCCACCACGCACATGAATAGACCACCCAAGCCTTTGCTTTTGGTTCAGTGGCACCGTGCAAACAGAGGGGTCGGTGAAACAATACCAATTATTGTACTGAATTTCTACGCTCCCGCAGCTATATTTTCCTGACTTCGCTGACCAGTCGAATAATCCGCCACGACCCGCGGTGGTTGTGGGGAAGCCCTCATTCAGCAGTGGATTGACAACAGGGATTGATTGATGTTTATGAGTGGAAACGGTGCAATAGGAATTAATTAACTTGGGAAGATAAAATGTGGGGCACAATGTTTGTTAACGTCAAATACTGAGATTGAACAGGACAGGTTATGGATAGAAGGGATGATGGCCAATGGAATGGCAGCCTTAAGATGGAACATATGCAAGAGGATGACCCCAAATGGAGAAGGACCAATAACTTGGTTCATGTGCAGGATCATTATGGCATGTAGTTTGTGAAAGATGGTGATGTGGGGAGGGGGGTGGTGGTCTTCATTCAGCAGGGGATTAATCATGCTTGCTGATTATAACTAATATGCACTTGGCATTACAATCATAACACAAAATAACCACTTCCTTGATCATGTTTACACGGTATAGAATGTAATTTATGTATTCCTATTAGCTACATGGAAATATGCAGCATACATTGGCAGTACCTGTAAAAAGTATACTTGGCAAAATAGTTTTGTAATTTTTGTAAATAGCATTTTTAATTTGGTAGGAATTCATAGATTATAACCTTTGACATTTAAAATTTTAACATGATGAGCCATACACTTTTGTACATACATATAAAAAAAACATGCTGTATGATTACCTACTGTCTACGTAACATACAGTACCACACACAAAATATGAATCATTACGTTTTCAGGTAGGCATAACGTACAATATCGTAACATACCTTCAAAGATAAATGAATATTTCTCCTTACCTTCGGCACGGATGTGGTGAGCATTGTGGGTTGAGGCTGCCTCTCCTAAAAAAGTTGCTGTTCTGTGTCTGCGCTGGTAGGATGAGTGCGGGAGATGCCTCGCGGACTCCAGTGCGCTGTTAGTCTGCCACCCACTGGTGTGAGGAAAGCGCCGTGACGGAGCCGGCGAGAGCCACCCTCTTTTGCATTGACGGCACATGCCATGAAATGACGCACGCGCTGTTTACAGCCGCGCTGCACAGCGTTCCCGCTCGCCCGTTCTATTTTTAATTTCTCTCTCGGGCGGCCGTGTTATTCAAATGCAGCCCGGTTGCATTTGCTGCACGTGCGGGAATTTTTTTTGTTGCAATACGCATAATAATAAAAGCTAAAATGAAGAAGGGAATACTTTTTTTTTCCCCATTAATATTTTTCGTTGCAATGAACGTCATTTGCGGTTTGTGTGTGTGTGTGTTTTTTTTTAAGAATGGAAATGGGGGGTTTGGACATTCATTCTTTTATTTGGCGTGCTCATTGAGTGTGCCGCCTGACATGTTGTCTCGCTTGTCGGCGAGCTCATTGAGAAACGAGCCCTCGCGCAATCTCGCGTGCACAGTCTGCCGCCCTGTTCACCGCACCGCATGAGAGGGCTAAATGCGGCTCAAAGTGCATTAAGTAAATCATAGAGTGCGTGAGCATTGCATGCCCGTGCAATTAGCGACGGGAGTATTGAGGGTGGGAGGGATGTTTTTCCAATTTTAGAACGTAAAGAAAAAACATATTAAAATCTAAAATGTAAAGCTTTGTAAATTATATGGTATTACACAACTGAATCTCATGGCACAAGCCAGAATTTATTGGGGAGTGTTTGTTATTTTTTTTCAAAATTATTTGAACAATGTTGAATGTATGGAACAATATGACACCTTTTTTTTAAGGTACTGCAATGATCATTTCAGTCACTTTAATATTTAGGAGTTTGGCATTCATTTGCGATATGTTTTCCGCCCGGCCAGGCATTCATCCAGATTAGCGAGCCATGTGTTTGCATGCGGAAAGCCGGCTTCTGCAGCGCAACCATTCCCATTGGCCACGAGACTGCATGGCGTTAAGGATTAACATGCATGTGCGGATCAGTTAAGAGCAACCTCGCCAGTTCGTTACAGAGTAATGGAGCTAAAACAAGGGCAGAATAATCCCCCCCCTTTTTTTTTTTTTCCCCCCTGCGAGCATTACCTCACAACAGTGCGTCACATTGGTTGGCTCCAAAACGTTCAAGTCCCGGAGCTAAGAAAGGCTGCAATGTGATAAAACTTACGTAATCAAATAATAAAGCAAGTGTGCACTTATGTTTATATATATATAGAACTGGTTGTATTATTTGAATGCAAAATTTGCACAGCTTTCATTTTGGAATAAAAGCTTATTAAATGTTGCAGTACACCATGTAAAATGGCAGGGTGTTCTGTCCTGGCCTTTCTCAATTAAGCAAAAACGATCGGTGCAGAAGCTGCTAAATTTAGAACTCTGGCTAAAAGAAAAAAGAAAGTCACGTGGGATGGGCAGTGCGCATCGCTGTTTAGCCCCAGCTCACTGCTGTCAAAACAGACCATGCGTTTATGCATCGTGCAACCATTTCAGGGATTTGCGTCATTAATATTATCTCCGTGGGTAACTGGCCATTACAAAAGAGAGGCATTTTTTGGCCTGTAAATGCACATTCAGTGTATTATGTTGTTAATGCGTACCTGCGCATGAACAACGTAATAACTTCTGCATGACGCCACTCCAGAAATTAATTTAAGGGGACCGATTCAGCAGTGTGCTCGTGCGTGCGTGCGTGCATCGCTCTCAGGATTTTTTTTGTTGTTGCTGATAAAATGCGATGGCACGCTACAGGGCCAATGCAAAAAATGAACGGTTGCACGCACGGGAAAAAAACTCGCCACGCAAATAATATGTGCACACGCGCACGCTTTGCGGATACACATAGATGTTTGCTATAAAAAAAGAGATGTGCAAAATAATTTGAATGCAGCAGCAGCAGCGTGGCCCTGCCGAAACCAGAAGTGCGTGGGCGATGCCGCTGCAGTGGCAGCAGCAGCAGCAGCAGCAGCCGCAGTTGCCTTCTTTTTTTGTATGAACGCATTGGCTTGCGCAGGCACGTGCCGAGCTAGTGCGTCAGACCGATCCCTCCCTCAGGTGATCCTTGCTGAGCTAAAAACAGCATCGCCTTTCTGCCTGGGATCAATTCCAACCCAAGCGCTATATTTAGCCCTCGATTGAAATGGTAATATTTTTGGAGACGCTCGCTCACTCGCCCGTGCAACGAGCAGTCGTGCGTGTACGCTGCTTACACGGAGAATACCGAGGCAGAAAAAAACGTTAAATGCATACGAAGTCCTCCACCCTTATTACCATTGCTATTGTCATTTAAAAAAAAAAATACCATAAATTTAGGCCTCGACTATTTTTTGTTTACGCACAAGTGCACTGCTTCGTGGTTCCGGATGTGCGGAGATGTCCTGTCATTGTGACATTAACGCGTGTCATAGTTATGCCCCTATATATTTTTTTTGCACCGTGAATGCAATGTGCCTTTGGATAGCTGACGAGGAGGAGAGAGGAAAATAAATGTTCCGTGCGTGCTGATGCGGTGCAAGGGGCGTTCAAGCGAAGTACAGCTCGTATTCACCAGAGAGAAAGTCTGGGATAAAGTGTTTCTCAAAATAGCAGTGCCTTGCAACCGGTTTTTGCACCTAGTTATTTTTAGCTTGTGAAAGTGAATTGAGCAAAATATAATAATCATTAAACTAAATATATATCTCTTTCGATGTGTGTTTGTGTATGGATAGATTTTTTTGCATGCAACGATGTGCAGAATAAATGTACACTTTTTAATAACAAATCACTCATCAGCTTTCCCGAGCACACAAGTCCTATATTTGAGCATTGCACAACGTTGGTTCGGAATTATGGAGGGAATTTACACATCGGGTATATTTTAAGATGAAAGTACATATTCTGACATGTCATTGTAAGTGTCTGTATTGTATAAACGACTGTGTCATTTGGGGGTGGCGTGTATGTTCTTTGGCTTGACCTACGATCGGTGATTCACAAAATAATTTCTAGCAAAAATGTCCCAAACCTGCTGCACCGTGTGGTGACCAGGAGGTGGCAGTACAGAAAGCGAGTTCCTGAATCCAAGTTTGTCTTCCTTTGAACATTGTCCTCTGCGCGGATTCTCTGCTGATACTCTGAATTCCAGTTTAACACGTAGGCTTTCGCGGCCAATATTATCCGCGTAAATATAAATACTGGCGAAAAGTCGTGCTCAGATTGTAAATGTTGTGGCTTGGCTCTCCAACACACTGGTGTGCTGTACTAGTGACGAATTGGCCACGTTCTGTTTACGTGACAACCCTTACTAGTTGGCTGTGTGGCAGGTTTTAACGATACTTATATTTACGTGCTCTAACCCAAAACAATCCTCTTTTGGATAAATGCGTCATTAAACCTGCCACCACCCGACAGCCAATTAGTAAGGTTTATGACAAACCTTACTTTATGACTAACCTTACTAAGTGGCTGTGAGGTTTGTGACAAAGCTTACGAATTAGCTATGTCGGGTTGTGGTGGCTTTAACGACACATTTATATTTATGTAATCTAACTGAAAAACCTTTACTCCGCATTCCTTCCACGCACAAATACCCTTGAAATGAAGTCTTCCAAACATCCCATTGGAGGACCAGTGACAACTTTCTCACTCTATAATGGACAAAATAAAAGGTGTTTTGCTACTTTATGCAGATGCTCGTGAATAGCCTAGTGGCTAGTGCACTGTCTTAACGAGTCGGTGCATAGTTCAGATACCACGTTTGCAGAGAGAATTAGTTCACCTGCTGTGAAATGTGTTTTGGAGGTCCAGATAAATCGTGAGCAAGAGTGCACAGCTTCTGTACTTGCAACTATCTGCAGGAGATGGATTTGCAATCATGACAAGGTAGCTCTCGCATTTCTACTGGGACGAGGAGATAAACTGCCATGGAGATTGGTGGTCAAGTTTCCACCTATTTGGTTTATCCCAGAGTCTGATCAAAGCCATCATGCACGGGAACATCGTGGAAACAATTATTTTAAATGGCTGGCTGTTAGCCGTCAAGGGGAGAAAGTTGTAAAAAAAAAAGTTCAAATGTAAAAAATGCATCGCAGATGGGGAAACATTGCAAATTTGTTGATATTTTCCAGTCTAGTATTTTATTTTTCAGGTCGTTTTGTCGGGGGCGTGAAAACAGTCGAATGCAAAGGGGTTATTTGACAGAGAAATGCGTGCTAAAAATGTTTCCAAAGTGTGATTGCCCACCTGTATCCAAGGCTGACTGCTATACATCACTGCGTGATGCCCTTGACGTTCGTGCAAAGCCAGAGGTCAAAACTAAAAATGGTGCCATGACTTTATCCCTAATGCCACTCATCAAAGATGGATGTCCACAAAAGGCCTCCCTTTTGAGAGTTATCTCAGTCGGGTCCTAATTCGTCGTCGAAGATTTTAATGTAACGAATCTCAAAAATGCAATGCATATTATTCAGAATGTTGTACATAAGCCAGAATGTGCAAAATTTGGAACGTCGCATTGAACAATAGCGGAGACTGCTTTTGTCGTTGGTATATATGCTGCGAAAAAGAGTTTGGTGCCTGGATGTTGTTTTTGCAAAACTAAGACATGCAACTCGATCTGCAGAACATGATCGCACTGCTGTAATGTTAAACATGGACGATAAAGGTCCCGGTGTTCATTTGATAATCGGCACTAATGGGTTTTCTCTTTCATTTTTTGTCTTATCAGTTGTCACTGGAGCCACGGATGGAATTGGAAAGGCTTATGTGGAGCAGGTAAGGTGGCCTTGTGTCTCAAATGTTGTTGTGTCCCCTTTTTTTTATTCAGCAGCAGAGGAAGAATGTGAATTTGAAAGCATGCCCTTGTTTTATTCCCTTAATTTTTGTGTTGCCATGAAAACTTCAGATTCTTGCGTTTTTTTCCATGTGAATGGGTTGTATGTTCACCATGGACGTCGGCATGCAGTCTTTGCTTCCCGCGTTGATTTGTCACGCATGTTGTACTCTGTACGTGTTCAGTAAATTATCACCGTAAACCTACAACGTTTTTTTGTTTCAGTGAGTAATTATAAAGAAGTAGCATATGGTGACAGTTAGGTGACATTGCTCTGACTCCACATGAGGCTTAAATAGGTGATGTTAAAAGAGCTTCATTTTTCCAAATAATTTGGCTTGTTGAGAGAATAAAAAAAATTGCAGGCAAAATTACACAAAATAACTAATAAATCACTGTAAATATCTCATTTGTAAATAATTTTATGTGGATATTTTTTATTGGAGAACTATTTTTTATTCCGACGAATTCACGAAAATTAGATCGTAGAGCAAGGCCATTCTGAGCTTTCACGGAGCAGTGCTTAAGCGCAACAGTTTTGTGTACATATGTTGAACTTCTTTTGCACCGTATGTAGCCAACATTGATAATTATCGGAGGTGCAGTTCATGCTTAAAACCGATCTTCCTTTACGTCTCATAGTTTGGAGAGATGTTTTGTTTGGTTTTAACCATGGTGGGTGACCAGACTGTGATGTTAGAGTGCGTTGAACAAATGCTGCTTTCTACTCAATGTTTTTTAAAATTAAAATATACCTGTAAAATCCCTTGAAGTATAACATCCCATTGTTTGCAAGGGTATCCACGGTTTCAAATAACACATACATAGCAAACGCGCAATGACGTACATACAAACATAACAAATGTATGGCATGTTAAACTTATTACGTAGTCAACCGTGCTAATCTACAACTTATACAGTACACATTTTACGCAATATCAAATGCATTTACGCAGTGACAGGAACTAGACAGCCGATGCAGCGCGCACCAGTCGGGCGCACAGCACTCGTTTGTGTGTGTGTGTGTCTTCACGTGTGGGGGTCTGTGTGTGTGCGTGTGCAGCTAGCCCGTAAAGGCCTCTCCATCGTGCTTATCAGCCGGTCCCAGGAGAAGCTGGAACGAGTGGCGCAGGAAATCCGTAAGTCTGCTCGGACGCCCTCAAATCCCGTCGCGACTGCTCGCCTTATTCGCTTATGAGAAGGAGTACAGCGCGTATATGTGTATCACTGTGGGGTGCATTAAAATATATCCGTGCATCCTTTTGCCAAGAACGTAGGATGCGGTTGCTATAAACCAGGCATGGAAAATGAGTGCCACTTGGGCGCGCGCACACACGCACACAGCCGAGATCTTTCCACGTCAACCAAATATCGCCGCTCGCTCTGCGAGTTGAGATAAGGCGTGTTAAGTGCCGGTGTTAATTTGTTGATGGGGTAAGGTGGACTGCGTGTGATGCACAACAACTGGAGCTTGTCCCATTCTTCTCTCGGCAACACTAATGAGGGATTTGCCGTTTTGACGAGTGACGTCGCGGGTTAGAGCGTGCGGCTTGCAAGCAGGAGTCCTGGTTGGAGATGGAATCGACTCCTCATCCCACTGTGATTGATGGCATGAATGAGTACCGCTTTGTAAAATCACTGCTGGTGGTGGTGCTGAGGGGGCACGACGGTGGTGAGATGTTTACTCCGTTGCCTGGTCTACAGGAGGTCGTGGGTTCGATTCCGACCCTGACGATGCCTGTATATTTGGACTTTGCATGTTCTCTTTCTCTCCCCTTGGTCGCGTGTAATTATCTTTGGGTCCCCCAGTTCTTCCCTCCACATTTCTTAATGATAAGCCGCTTTCTTGAGCTATCATTGGTGGACCGGTCGCTTCTGAAAAAAATGCTATATAGCTTAGTGTTCCTTGCCTGGTAAAATAAAAAAGTTTAGTTTTTATTTTAGTTTGATCTATAGACTCGCCTCCGTAAAAAATTGGAATAAAAATCACGCGTAATTTTCATCACCACCTTAAATTGTGTCCTGCACAATTCAGCACAAATTTGACTTTGCTATTTTAAGAAAGACGTGAGGCTTCATTTTAATTGAAGCATTATTTTACGTGCGCGCTTGTGTACGAGTGTATAATTGTGTATTGTGAGGGCCAGCTAATCTGACTTGGAAGAGATTTGTGGTTGTTGTTTTGCAAGGTCATGAGTTCTAATAGCATTCAGGGTTGATTCATCTCAACACCTTCGGCTTCCCAACTACTTCAGGCGAAGCTGTCCTTAGGGTACACGGCGAATTGGGGTGACCGTTCCGGGCCCTGCACTTTGGGGGGCCCTGCGCTTCGATGTCACGGTGTCAGATGTAATACTTCCGGTTTAGTTAGAAGGCGCCGGGGCCCACACAACGTGATTTGGCCCGGGCCCTGCACCCCCCCCCCCTGCTCCCCACCCCCCCACTATGAATGGCCCTGGCACCAGGCTTGCAAAAATGAGTCAAGCATAACCCTGTGAAGATACACCACTGTGTAAAATAAACAGTCGTTTCTGTAAACAATGTAAATTGTCCCCTGTCACATGAATGTGGGAATTGTTACCACATGAATTTGGACTTGACAGAAATGAGCAAAGCGGAATTCTTCAGAGTATGTGTGTAACGATCCATCGATTCATCATTGTTGATTTATAAGCTGTCACGCATCAAATTACATGTGTAACAATCGATATTTTTTTTCATTCATATATGTTGTATGTGTGACCTATCCATCTACTAGAGGCCCTTACATTCACTAGCATGTTGAAAGTAAACAATTTATTCTTGAGTAAAAACCGTGATCCTGAATAATGACAAGTCATGGAATCGTGAGGGATGGGGAGGAAATCTCTGAACGCCGTACTCGAAAGCACTTGACATTTTGAATCGTGCGTCCGCCCCGCCATTTATTTTGCATCCACCATTCCTGCGTCTTTCACAATGTAGGGATGGCGGACATCTCATCGCAGACGTGGCAAGACTTTTAGCATCGTCGCTTATTTTTAAATACACCGCACACTCTTTCGCTCTAACGAGGCGGCACGGACAGTTGCGGAAAATACAACCGCGGCGTGACGGTCACGATCGCAGGCGTCGTTGATTCCCTCCGTCTAACGGCAAAATGAGCCGTGGACAAGAAGGCGTTTTTTTTCTCTTCTCAAGACGTGGATAAACGCGCGTGTACGCTAACGTGCGCGCCCACCCACACGCACGCCCATCCAGCCCTCCCTCGCAGTGACACGTGCACACGCCGCTGCTTGCAGCTTAAAGGAGGCGCGCGCTATTTTGAGTCACCCTGCATCTATTTAAAGCCGTGCGTGGGCAGACGTGAATCTGAAGCGCACACACGCGCACACAGATCTCGCGCCAAAAAAAAAGATCGCCCGTCTTTCGCTGTTGCATTTAGAACATATTTGTTTTGTGGGGATTATGTCCTGCCTTTTTGACTTGTGCTATTTCTGAAATCGGGCCACAAAGGTAAGGAGCTTTTTTGAAGGGAGTTTCCAGAAATAGCTGCACGACATCACGTGAAGATTCTTCGGCCCGTTTCTGTATTTTTACCCACGACTTGCTTATTTTTAGCTTTCTAATTCATTTCTGTATTCTCTTGTGCATTAATGTTTGGATGCCTGTATATATTTGTAACAAAGATCCCCAATATAGCCTTAACAGACTGTTGCGGCAAGTGCTGTTAGCGAGCACCTATGAAGGCTGGAACGGCACAAGAGGGGATGGGTGGCTAGCACCATGCCCAGCCATCTTTGTCTCTCTAGTGGTGATGTTTTACACACCGCACCAGGTACTCATTTCAGGTTGAGTCGACCTCGGGGAGACCCAGGTCCGGTACAGATAATTATCGCAACTGGTGTTGGCCGAGAGCGGAAATCGAACTCGGGCCGCCAGGTACGTAGCGCAGCGCACTAACCGCTACACTACCGCTCCCCATATATCTGCACACACACATGCGTACATCTTTGTTTCCTTATTAGTTTCGGATTTGTAATGGATACTTGTTCTCTCCCGACCATATTATAACAACACACGCACAGTTTTTGTTCTTTTCTTAGGATTTTCCGGCTTTCCCCATCTGTCTCGCATTGAACCTAGCTTTAGCCGACTATTCCTTTTGCGTTCTCTCCTCCCCGCGACCTCGCAGCGAGACACTGTGCCTTGAGGCAGACGTGTCTCTCTCGCCGCATCACCCCGTGGCCCCCTTCACGCCCTTCCTGCCTGCCCGCTCGCCTGCCCAAGATAGTGTTTTATTTTTTCTAAGATGCGATCTTCTCCCCAGTCGTGGCGGTGACATACGCGCCCCCCCCCCCCCCCCGCCAAAACGGTGACGCACGTCTTTGCCGGGAAATGCGGTGCCTCCGTGGCAACTCTTATCACGCTCCCCCCCCCCCCCCCCCCACATCTAATCGGTGAGGCGGGGGGACCGACTGATTGACAGCAGACCGACGCACGAGCTACCGAGTTTTCCATACCTTTCCTGGTTTTCTTTGTTTTTCAATTCTAGTCACAGCTGCGCACAAAGTGTCCGGGAGATGACGCCTGTGTGTGGATATGTACGTTCAACTTTTTTCGCACCGCACGTAGTCAACTGAGCTAATCGGAGATGACGTGTAAATGCGTGCACAGGTGTGATCCGTTCGCCGAGATATTTTGCCGAATGCCCCCCCCACCGTGAAATCTCTCCCAACATGCCTTTGTGGCCTGTGTGCCTCGGTGCACTTCCGATTAGCACGGTCGGCTACGTACGGTGCGAAAGAAGTTCTACATACACAAGTTCGTACAGCGAGTCCTTGAAAACTCCCTTAATCCTGAAAGCTGGGCTTGCCCGATGCCCTTCTTGGCAGGCAATGCATTGTGCTGTATTTAATTGCTAATCCAAAACAAAATTATACTTCTTCCCACCCGTTTCCCCCCCCCCACAGCTTCATGCCGGTTATTCAACAATTCATCCGCAGCTTTATCTTGCTGGCACGGAATCATGGTGTGTCCTTTAAAGTAATACAATCGTCAACGCCGCCTTGCCCACGAACACCATTTTTTTAAATTTGCGCATGTGTATGTTTGGGGGGTGAGGTAGCGTCGTGGTTAGTGCACTGTGCTACAAACCTGGCGACCCGAGTTTGATTCCCGCTCATGACCAACACCAGTGACGATTATCTGAACCGGTACCTATTGCGATGTGTTACAAGGGAGACAAAGGCGGCCCGGCGTGGTGCTGGCCACTCACCCCCTCGTGTGCCATGTTGTCCTTCATAGGTGCTCGCAAAAATCACTTGCCCCAACAGCCTGTTAAGGCTACCCGGGGGATCTTTGCCTTAATAAATAACACACACACATTAGTTGTGTGCAAATAATTATAATATCGAGAGCACACAAGTCTTCTACAGGGACCCTTGTGACTCAATGTCAGGTTAATGACACAATGTGTGCAGTATAATTAGGCATTTTTGTTATGTATTTGGTATTTGAGTTTCAATTGAGTGCTAGACCAATCTTTGTTTAAAACAGATAAGATCCCTTTGAGACAGTTGTTTTCAAGGGAGCCCTGGAGTAACAGCAATTCAGGCAAATTAAGGTCGTGGTGATGGGGTTGTGGAATACGTGCAGCCCAGAACACCTATATGCTCTTAATTATTATTTCACTTGTTTACTCAAGAAAAGTTAGCTAAGTCTCAAGACTTTGGCAAGTTTTCGCAGTAGGTGGCCGAGTGACGTTCGTTTACAAATTGCCAGCCACTTGTTAATTGTGAGTGCAGTATGACACACGCTCATTGTTGTTATCTTGCAAGAGCAGGGCGTGGTGGCACAATGCTGTGATTTGGCAATTTCGAGGCGCAGAGGTTGGCGGAACGCGTACATTTGTGAGATTTCCAAAACTGCTGGGCAGCCAGAGATCCCGCGTGTGCTCACCTTTGAGTGTCGTCTCTTTTGCACAAATTTCCTGCAGTCACTGCATTTCCTGCCCCCCATACACAAAATGCTCATCATTAGGATTGGCCAAACATGTTAATGCAGGGCCCTCCTGGATATGAGTCTTGAGGCTCGGTGCGAGGCATTCTTGGTAAAAAAAGAACATTGTATTATTGGGGTTGAGTGGTAGTAGAGTGTTTAGCATGTTGTACTGTGATGCAGCAACCTTTGTTCGATTCCCGGACATGGCTGACAGCAGTGGCGAGTGATATCTGAACTGTTCCTTGGACCGACTTTCTCTTCGCCAACCCGCACTGATCAGTGTAGTTATAAAAAACAACCCTAGATGACCGAGGCCTTCATCCAGCAGTGGGTTGATGAAAAGCTGTACATTATTGTATTATTATTATGTACACACCTATCAGTTAGAGCTGCATGTAATTTTCTTTGTTAAATCCGCCGCAGTACAATACTTGAATATTGATGACTAAATGAATGAACATAAAATATTTTAATCAATCGAGAGTGTAATATTCTACGCGTTTTACAATTACACGGAAGGAAAAGGCAATGACTTCTGCACGGGAGTCTTAACATCTATCAGTGGACAGAAAATGGCCAACGCTTCATGTGTGCCTTTAAACAGCACAGGGGAACCCTTTTGAAATGAAAGGTTACCGCAGCATGCGGCGTTAAGTGAGGACCGCCGCGTGATGGCCGTGATTGTGCAATTGAACGAGGTAAAATTTCAGCCCTCCAATTGTATGCTCGTGCTACAACTGGTAGAGAAAGCAACCACTGGAGGGAGCTCAGGAGAGCCCCTCTCGAGAGGGGGTGTTGGCATAATCTCTGCCGCACTTGGATGACGATCTGGCAGTACGCACACTTTAACCCACTACGCGTCAGCCGCCGATGGACCCGTGGTTTACCCATTTATATGTTCCACAATACAGTTTTTTTTTGGGGGGTTAGATCGCGTAAATTTATACACGTGTCGTTAAACCCGCCACCACCCGACACGGCCAACTGGTAAGCTTTGTCGCGTAAACAGAACGTGCAAATTCGTTACTAGTACAGCACAACGGTGTGTTGGAGAGCAAATCCACAACATTTACAAGTTATATGTTTCTGGGTGGACAGAGGCGGGTTGGATTCAACTGCCATGCCAGGAGATAAAATCGGAATCGGCGACCTCTGGATTCCAAATCCACGCTGCGAACCGTTACACGACGGCAACAAGGATATTTTTAACTGCGCAACGCGGAGGGGGCTCCGCCTCCTCGCGGGTGGAGGGGGGTGGGGGTGAGGATTCCGTCATCCAGCAGTGGATAAAAAAAATAGTCGACGCTCTCGAGTGTGCGCGCGCACGATCTATTCAGCGGCGCAGGAATCCCTTTTAAATTAAAGGTTAGTGCGGCGCGCGCCCGTTAAGTAAGGAGCGTCGCGCGCGCACGGCAGCGATTGTGTGAATTGGACACAATAACGAAGCTATTATTAACGCGGCGGTGCGGTGGCACCTCGCCGCCGAGACGAGATGAGAGCGCGGCTGACGCAAGTCGCCCCTCGCGGGGTTTCCCACAATGCCCGGCCCATCGCCATGGCAGCGCCGAGGGTTCCCCCCGTCCGATGGGCCCGGACGGTTCCACGTGCTGCACAAAGCTGCGAATAGCAATGAGCCAGCGCCACCGCATTAGCAATTCATGAACACCGCAACGGGCCCTCGCGGACGTTCCCGCTAATTTTGATTGTCGATGAGCTAAACCGCTGATTCGATTTAATTTGATTTTGTATTTGTGCCCATATTGCTGATGAGATGGACACGTGCGCCCCTTGCTTTGTCCTTGCTCCGCCCCCCCGCCGCCACCACGAAGCCTCCAAAGCACCTTGGCTCGCTGACCCCAATGCCTCCGTTCAACATTGCCCTCTGCTTGCCACCATTCCGTGCCATCCCATCCATTATCCCCTCCGACTCTACTCTTCACTCATCACCTCAACCCCACACCCTGAATGTCTCACCCACCCACCAACCCACCACTGCACCAACCCACCCACTTACTCACCTTACGCACTTAATCGCCCACCCACCAAACCATGTACGGCTCGGCTTGTCCTTCTAATCACCCACCCACACACTCACCCACCCAACCGACCCGTCTATTGACTCACACCTCGCGCTCCCAACTCCCCTGAACTCTCCCCTCTAGTCCGCATCATTGCTCTCTCCACTCACCTTTCCCCTCCACAATCTGTCTCCCAATCTGTGATAATTTTTTAACAGTGATGTTATTTTGGTTTGTGCTGTAACCGCAACTGGGCATGTGAGACGGGCAGATAGATATACTAATTTAAAATATTAGTATTTATAATCTAAAATATTTTTTATATAATGAATAATTTGTACACTTCTAAAAGGGTGTTATGCATAGTTTTTTTTACACATTTGATTTCTACTGTATTAATTAACTAAATCTTCCTTGAAACTGAGACTCCTGCTTTAAATGAGTGCATACCTCATTATAAACTAAGGCCATCTGTCTTTATACACGCTCAGAATATCATATGCAAGTTTATCCACTTAGGTATGTAATTTTATCATGACGCATTAATGCAGGTAAGCCAAACCAGCCAAGGTTAACCTTGTGAGCAGTAACAAGCACTGAATATAAAGGCGCCTGTCGGCTCAGAGGTCGGAGCACTGAGCTGGCGCTGCTGAGATCCTGGGTTCGAATCCATGCAGCGCTCGCCTGCGCTTAAACCAGAACCTCAAGTGTAGTGAGTTGACGGTGTGAGCCCAGATACCGATGACTACATGCAAATAAACATCGTGTTTAAAATGTGGTTCTGCTCGTAAATTGGCTAAATTTCTGCCGTAGGAATTAAGCATATTGGTTTCACTGAACGTTGTCGGTGGCGGGGACATGTGGGGAAGTGCTGCTTCCAACTGTGTGGAACAGGGTTTACCTTACGCAATCTCAGAGGTAGCTCCGACATCTGCTTCCACAGGCTACGAATGTCTACTTAGTCTCGTGACGTATTAATTGCACCCGTGTATTTCAGGTTAGAGCACAGTCGAGATAAAATTGTTGAAGGCGGAAGACTTTACAAAGACACGCGTTAAATGTTCAACGAGTGTGGCTCCCAAAGCGTTTGCGGTCGAGTAACGGCATTTACTGTGCAGGCGAGAGATTCAAGGTGGAGACGAAGACCGTGGCGGTGGACTTCACCGCGAGCGAGGAGATCTACCCCAAGGTGCTGGCCGCGCTCCGAGACCTGCCCGTCGGGGTTCTGGGTGAGAGTCTCTGCTGCCCCAAGAGAATGCACCGCCCGCAAATCTCTCTCTATGTAGGCAGCTCTCGTCGATACTGAAAGGATCGACCAGGTTGGAAAGTTGGCAAAAGAAAGGCACAATCGGTGTTTGTTTTAATGAAAAAACAACCACTCAACACATTTTTTGAGAACACTGCCTTAAACTATATATAACTAGCTTTACTACCCGGCTTCATCCGAGACTTGGATGAATACACGGCCTACGCGGAGGGTTGGAGGGGATGCGTGGCGTCAGCAGGCACACTGCGTGACGCTGCCGCATGCGGGTGACGTCACAGATGTGACGTCACCGCTCACTTGCCGTGCAAAATATATCCATTATTGCGCCCCCCCCCCCCCAAAAAAAAATGACAAAGTCTATATTTAGACTTTTTGCATTGTGTACAGTCTGTAAGTTACCCACGTGCCAAATTTCAAGTTTGTTGCATGTCGGGAAGTATGCTAAACATTTCGAACAGACACACATATTCACAAATTTCCCTTTTTATATATATAGATGGGCATCATTCTGGGTAATGGCCCTTCCATATTGATACATAATTTCTGATCATGGTACTGGTCTGTTGTGTGATGCTTGCTCCTCAGTGAACAATGTGGGGATCTCCTACACCTACCCTGAGTACTTCTTGGACATCCCCAATCTGGACGATGTAAGTTACTCAACGGCTGGAATACGGAGTCAATCAACTCGTGGACATTAATCGACGTATTCATTTCATGAATAGTACAGCGCAGCACGAGGGATAGCGATAGCATGGAGAGGCCTCTATGCAGCACAGGATGGGCAATGAATGACGATGCACGTATATTCGACTTGTTTTGCACCGGACGTAGCCAACCCTGCTAATCGGAGGTGTGGCAGGCGAAGGACAACAAACCCAACACGAGAGAAGCAGTTTTAAATAAATTCGTTTTCAATCTTGATTTAAAAGTGCACCATGTTGTAGATGATGATGATGCTGCTGGTAACGATGATGCTGTTTATGATCACGATGGTATGCCTAATCGGGCTACCTAATCACCAGCAAAGCAGTGTTACATGAAATTAACACGCATTTGTTTTGTGTGTATGGCTGTAGTTGGTTTGACGCACTTGCGCTCATCGTAATTTCTCCGTGTTGTCCTGCAGATGATCAAGAACATACTGAACGTGAATGTCTTGTCTGTACTGAAGGTGAGTTGGACTTCTGTCACGCACAGGCCTCCTTGCTCCACCCTCGGTGGTTTAAGAGGTGAAACTGGGACATCTAGTGGCGGCTGGACATAATAGCTTGCATTCTGTGATAACGTAGTATATTACAGGGTGTTCCAAAACCATGGACCCAATTTCAAAGCAGTATATTTCACGATGGCAACATGTTACAATTACACAAAAGTTACAAACGGTTTAATGTGTTATCAAGTTTTAATAACCATTTTATAAATGCTCTATGTGCCCTCCACCTGCTGTACAGACAACATCGAGACGATAGTTGAATTCGTCCCAAACGCCTCTCAAAGTGTCTTCCACTGAAGTCACCGCTGCCGTGATTCTGTTTTTGAGGTCATCCAGATTAGTCGCTAATGGTGGCACAAAAACACGGTCTTTGACGTATCCCAACAAGAAAAAGTCGCAGGGTGTGATGTCTGTGGATCTTGGGGGCCAAGAGTGTGCGACCTATCCAACGTTGAGGCAGTGTGTCTTGCAAATGACTGAGGCTAGGGGCTGTTTGTGCGCTGGGAGAGGCATCTAGCGGTAATCATTTGAAACTCGATGCCCCGCCCTCTCTATGCCCCACCCTTTCAAGTGGTAAGAGTTTCATTCATGGGCGGTTCGTGGTTGCAGAGATATAACGATTTCAAATTGGGTCCATCATTTTGAAACACCCTGTAAATGTAACTATTAAACCAATAATTTGCCAGGTAAGGCCCACTGAGCTATTATACAGTCCTTTTTCAAAAGTAACCTGGCCACAAATGATAGCCCAACGAAGTGGCTGATGTGGAAATTTATAGCAGCCAAAATACTCTAATACATCGCACAATGATTCTAAATGTGGAGGGGAAAAAACAGAGGACCTGGAGAAAAATTAACGCGACCACGGGGAGAGGGAGAGACACGCAAACTCCACCACATAAGTGGGTCTTGTACTGTGGCGACGCTCTGTTCTGTGATGAGCTTGGGGGGGGTAATGCGAAACCCAGGTGTCATAGGTTCACGGGGATCTCAGAACCGTGGTGACGCTTTCGATGGTGATTCATTGAACTCCGGTTCTCCATTCGATAGCAAATGAGGTCGTCGCTCGCTGCACGTGCCTCAATATCACTAAACAGTAGTTACCGCCGTGACGTAGGGAGCGCTCGTTAATCAGCACGCCGTCACCTGGGGACGCGTTTACATGTACAATTTACATTTGCGTATTATTCAAATGTTGAACGATTGCTCTGCATGTCACGTGCAACACACGTTGTGCACACACGAGATCTCAATTTTAATTCGGATCGGTGCTCGACGTCACGTGGAGCTCACTTCGCAATCGGTAGCCGTGTGCAGCGTTGTAATTGCTTATATTTGTATTTTAACAGACCTAAATAGGTAGACGTGAAAGACATGCCGTGGTGGGCTGTGAGGGCTGGAGTTTTGAGAAACCCTACTTTTGATTCCTACCATGAGTTGTGGGAAGGGCATTGCGTGATAATGCTTACCGATGCTCCCGTGAGCCATAGGTACGGTGTAACGGTAATGCACCAACCTCCACTCTGGGAATCTTCCTCGTCAGGGGCGCCGATGTGGCGACATTTTATTTCCATTGCCTGGCATGCAAGAGGTTGTGGGTTCGATCCCGACCCCCTAATGCCCGAATATTTGGAGTTTGCATGTTGTTCCCGTGGTGTCCGGGTCCTCTGGTTTTTCCCGCCACGTTTAGAAACGTGTGTTTCTTCATTGGCTACCGGTCAAATTCCGGATGAATTTTAAGATACTGCTATTGACCTTTCTGGCTTTTGGCGATCGAGCATTTGTTAGCGTGGCACCCAAGATATGGAACGCTTTGCCACTTGAAATCAGGAAATCAGAGTCGGGAGATGTATTTAAATCTTCTTTGAAAAGCCATCTCTTTAAAGTGGCCTTCCCTCTTTAGTTTGGTCGGTTCCCCTGGTTCTGTTTTTGTTTCCTGCCTTTCCATGCATTGTGAATTTGGATCATAGGATGGAGAATGCACATAAATTATAATTATTATATATTTCCACTTGATAAGCCGCTTCATAGCTTCTGAAGACGAGCTGATAGCTCAGTGGGCTTGTCCTGGTAAAATAAAATAGATAAATCTGCGACCACAACAAGTCCCAGTTGGCGCTTGGAGGTCGTCTCATTCTCAAATTTACTGCCGCTGCGATTTGTCGTTTCCCCTGTGAAAGTCTTGAGATGTGGTCACATTTCGATGACTTACGCCCATGAAGAATTAACCATGCATCACACTCCGACCATTTCGCCATGCCTATCACCCTGAATGCTCCCAATCTTGTCTACTCTCAGAAGCTAAGCAGCGTGGAGTCTTTTTAGTACTTGGATGGGTGACCATCATGGCTTGCCACGTGTTGTGGGTGTTGTGAATCTGTGAGTTGTCCGAGGGGTGGCCCTGCTGAGCGTTAACCCCTCCGCGTATCTGTGGGTTTTTGATGGATTCTAAGTTTTCTTCCCACTCGAAGCCAAAGAGAAATTAGCCGAACATCTCGGTGAGATGTTATTGAGGATTGCGGAAAATAATTAGCATTAGATGCCTTATTAATCTGATGTGTGTTTGTTGTACTACAAATACAACTCAGGTTCCTGGGGCTAGAGTTCAAGTCCATTTCTAGGCAGAGGTCCCAGTGACCATGCTTTTCTTAATGTGACTGACACACGATATTAATATGGCATCTTTTTGACCATGTATAAAGCAGGGGTGTTTTTTTATTGTATGCTGACTTGTTCAGTGTGCCCAACTAAACAATACTGTATAAGCTTATCGACATCGGTATGTGGTAGTAGTAGATAAGTGAATTTGGACCGTATGTTCCCTGCAATGGAGAGGTAGCACAGTGGTTAGAGCACCGCACTGCACTGTTAACTAGGCGATGTGAGTTCTATTCCCGGCCACGGTCAACATCAGTGGAGAGCCATATCTTAATTGGTCACGAGTTCCCCCCCCACCCCTCGCTCACTTTGCACTTACTAGCAACGTAAACACGTGGTCAATCACCTCCATGATTGACACTGCGGCGTGGGGGGATCTTCATCCTGCGTTAGATTCTGAAAGAACGGTTTCTAAATTCCTTGAACAACGTGCGTCGTTTTAACGCCACTCCCGTTCCCCCCATCGGCTTCATCCAGAGAGTCTCCTTCACTGGAGTTATGCCGGCAGTTAAACAGCCTTGCTTACATCGCAGCCGTGCATTGTAATGACGTCGTGGATCGGGTGATTCACCAAAAGAGGATTTTGAGCGTAAAGCAGCGCATGAATAACACACCGCACACACACACGCTCTCAAGGCTTTTGAGATTTTTCAATTTGGCCGTGTGTCAGCGCTGTTGTAATTGGAGTTACCCACAAGTGCTCTCATTGTTACTCACCAGATGACTCAGATCGTCCTGCCGGGAATGCTGGAGCGGTGAGTCAACCACGCGCACGCACGCGCATGCTTCCTCCTGGCCTCGCTGCTGCGTGCGGTCATTTCTGCCCTGGAGTAGCCTCGCGCTGCTCGCGCGCCCGCCACCTCGCACGCGTCGTCAGTGGCGGTGTGATGGCACCCCCCACACGTGCCCAACGCGAGCGCCAGTCCAGCTCGGGCTGTATCCGGTTCTTGTCGCCAACTTGCAAATTCTGGGAAGATAAAACCCGGGAGCGCTCTTCGACACTTAAGCTCTGTCCTGCACTGAAAAGAGTATGCAGTGGAAAACAATCAAGTGGCTGTTATCTTGTCGATAAACTTACCTTGCGCGTCTCCCCTTGAGCCGTCTGACATGATTGTGAAGCTTCAGTATTGAGAATATATATAGATATACAGTAAAACCTTGGATTGCGAGTAACTTGGTCTGCGAGTGTTTTGCAAGACGAGCAAATTTTTAAAATAAATATTTATTTGATGAACGAGCGAGGTCTTGCAATACGAGTCGTATGTATACGCTTTGTCTGCCGAGCGTCACGTGATCACAACTGATATACGAGTGCTTTGATACACGTGTGCTTTGGATTACAAACACGATTCCGGAACGAATTATGCTCGCAATCCAAGGTTTTACTGTATATTACTTTGAAGTTATGGTCAACTCTTCCACCCTAGAGTGCTCGAGGGACGTCGCTGCATTGATAAATGAAAACATGGGAAATCGTGGCACAGAGTGCTAATGTTCACTGTCTCTGAGATCCTTTGATGACTTTGTCATGAAATCGGTGAAAATGACCTTCAGGAAATGATGGAAAAACTTAACGGAGAAGGCTGCAAAGTGGGAGCTCAAGATAAATGAGCAAAACAAAGGTCATGTACAACGAGTCCACTCGGCAACTGGACATTTGTTCGTGGTACACAACTGCTCAATGCATCGGGGTGTGGGCACGTAAGGGTCGGGATAAAAAAATGTATAAAACAAAGCAAGTTGGCACGCTTTTGGAAAACGGAACTTGCATGGTGGCAAGCAACACAAACCAAGATAACCAGTGTGGCAGCAGTCATGAGTTTGATTCCGAACCACAGCTAATGCCAGTGCCGAGTGAAGGGGGGGGGGGGTGCCGAGGAACTGAAACCAGTGCCGGACACGTGCCGCCTTCAACCATCACTGGCAAGCGTGGTGAAACGTGGTCACGCGACACCCAAAACGTCTCCCCTACCTTGGGGGAGAAACCCTCACCCGGTGACCTCCCTCTGTGCCTGCCCTTTGCAGGAAGGGCGGCGTAATCATCAACATCTCGTCGGGGTCTGCCCTGTACCCCGTGCCTCTCCTCTCTCTCTACTCCTCCACCAAGGTGAGAGGCGACTTGCTGCGCTTTTCCATTGGGCGCGTGTCTTCATGCGCTGTGTGTATGTGTGTGTGTGTGTACGTACGTTGTGTCGCCAGCCACGCTTGTCGGAGGTGCGGGGTGGGGAAGGACAAGAAACTAAACGCAAAAAGAAAAAGTGTAAATTTTTGCACGCATTTACTCTTTAGCTTTTTGGGTTTAGTTTGTCGTCCTATATTTACACCCATGACGGACAAGCCTTTGCTTGGCACCAACCCGCTATGATTATTGTGGTGAAGTGTGGTCAAACAACCCTCAGGGCCGACGTGGAATGGTGAGGTCTTCAGCGAGCATTGGATGTACATTTGTTTTATTATTTCTTGTCGGTAATGAGACCCTTTTAAACAATCTTTGTTGATTTTTTTTTATAACTTTACAATCTTCATCGAGATATTTAAACTGTACAATATTTGTTGGCACCCCAGGTTTCTCTCAGTGGGCTCTCCTTATTAGTTTGTGTTTTGTATGTCCTGTTTGCATCGATAGTTGTGAATAGGATTCACACATTTAGTCACTATCCAAGTGGGCTTTGCTCTTGTCTGTAAATGCATTCCCCTTTCTGGAGGCTGGAAGGTTTCTGGCTTTCGTGCCACATTTTGTTGTGGATGCTGTTTACATTTTTTATTCTGGATGTTTTTCTTTGAAAGAACTGAACGTTTTAGAAAACTTGCGCTCGGCTTGAGGTCACATGGACTTTTTGTGCTTTAATTGGTTGTGTGAATGTGGCGGCGGCGGCGGTGGTGGTGATGATGTGGGGAGCGGTGGCGTAGCGGATAGCACTATGCTACTAACACTGGCCGCCCGAGTTTGATTCCCGTTCATGGCCAACACCAGCGATGATTATCTGAACTGGTCCTGGACCTTCCCTAGGTCGTATGTATGTGTGTTGAAATTCTTTCGCACCATACGTAGCCAACCGAGCTAATCGGAGGTGCGCGCGACTTATCCTTAAATGAGTACCTGGTGCGGTGTATAAACATCGCCACTAGGGAGACAAAGGCGGCCGGGTATGGTGCCGGCTACCCACCCCTTCGTGTGCCATGCCGGCCTTCATAGGTACTACTCCCTAACAGCACTTGCCCCAACAGTCTTTATTGGTGATGATGATGATGATGTGAGTTTCCGCATTGCTGTGGTGACGTCTCCGTCTACAACCTCTTCTCCCTTCTAGGTGTTCGTGGATTTTTTCTCTCGGTCCCTCAACACCGAGTACCAGTCCAAGGGCATCATCGTCCAGGTGTGTGTGTGTGCGCGTCTTCCCACATCTGGCCCTGCAGCTTGGCACCAGTTGTGTCATGCCAGCTTTTTTCGTACAAACGGCATTCGTCTGTCATCGGATAACTTCCTTGCAGAGTCGATGACCGTATCACTCGGAACGTTCTTGTCAGATCTCGGAAGCTAAGAAAGATTGAGCGTGAATGGTGCTTGAATGGGTAACTTCGATGTACGATAGTTTTTTCGTCGGGCTCTGGGGCTTCACTTTTGGGCAGCAGACGGCAGCGAAGCAACATCTGTTGCTGCGCTGTACCTGTACGCTCCCACGCCTTCACCAACCCGCATTGGCCAGCGTGGCGAAGTATGGGTCGTGTAACCCCGACGACGCATGCAACGTGGGGAGGTCCTCAAGCCAGCAGGAGGTTGACAGAGAGGACTGCTCGTGTCCGTGTGTAGCGGGTTAATAACAAAGTCAATAACAGTGTGTGATGGTGTTTGGGCGGTCGAGCACTTCCGATGAGCGTGGTTGGCTACGTCCGGTGCGAAAGAAGTTCAACATACGTACATACATTGGCGACCGACAACAAATGTTCAGTCAAAACAATGTTTAATTCCCAGGGCTGGAATTTAGCCAATTTAAGAGCAGAACCAAATTTAACACGATTTTTAGTTGGACGCAGTCATCGCTGACTGGGTTGAAACCATCAACTCGCTCCACTTGAGAATTGGGTTTAGTCACTGGCGGCTGCCTGGATTTGAACCCAGGACCTCATCGCCGCCAGCTCGTCGTTCTGATCTGAGCTAATCCGGTCACCTCTGCTCGGCAGTGTCTTGTTGCAGGCGTGTCGTTGTTGTTGTCCAGTTGTTAACGTTGTTGTTGTTGTGGCCGTGCGGAACACAGAGCGTGCTCCCGTTCTACGTCAAGAGTAACATGTCCAGGATCAAGCGGGCGACGCTGACCAAACCGGAGGCGGAGACGTTTGCGTGTTCCGCGCTGGCCACCGTGGGACGGCAGAGCCGCACCTACGGATATCTGCCTCACGCGCTGCAAGTGAGCGGGCGGCGGCGGTGGCGGCGTACAAATCGGGAAAAACAATCGTGTGCATTTAGGCGTTGGTTTTGTGATGCTTTCCATCACTCGCTTGTCCATGGAAGTAGTTAATTGCCGATTATTTAATTAGGTTACGTGCAAATAGATGACGGCAATCGTCATCATCGTCGTCATGATCCATGAGCAGATGGCTTGTAGGTGTCCACTTCACATTTCGTTATTTGTTTGCACTTTCCTCTGTCTTGTGCCAATACGCTCAAGCAGTGCGCTTCTGTCTGACACCCATCTCTTTAGTCGTCGTCAGGCCATTCGCTGTTATACAGAGCAATAGAACACGGCAAATTTTCTACACTTTTATTCCGAATTCCTGGATTTCGCCCTGATGATGTTTGTAATGAAACGTCGTATCTGAAACGTCGTATCTCGATCGCTAAATTTGGTCTTGAGAATCTTCTTTGACTTAACGATGAGTGAGCTGCAACGATAATAATTGGAGCGTCGTTAAACGCACGCTCGCGTGTGAATTTCATTTGTTTGGCTGTGTCGGGTGGTGGAAAGTCTTTAGGACACAACATTTGCAGAGATAATTACGTGGCCTAACCCAAAATTTCATTACGAATCGCAACTGATTTAACGTGTTAAGTTGTACAGTAGTACTAATGTTCAGCCTTAATTCACGGAGATCATGAATTCCTACTTTCACGTCTTTGCTGCTCTTGAACAATGCGCATGTACACTTTTTACATTTGACGCATAGTGTAGTGGTTAGCGCGCTGCGCTATAATCCCGGCGACCCGGGTTCGATTCCCGCTCACGGCCAACATCGGTGACGATTATCTGAACTGGTCCCGGGCCTCCCCTAGGTCGACTCAGCCTCAAATGAGTACCTGGTGCGGTGTGTAAACATCGCCACTAGGTTGACAAAGGCGGTCGGGCGTGGTGCTGGCCACCCACCCCCTCGTGTACCGTTCTGGCCTTGATAGGTGCTCGCTAACAGCACTTGCCCCGACAGTCTATTGAGGCTATATGGGGAATCTTTGTCTTTGCTTTGTGACTGACGTCTACGATTGTGACGAAGTCCGTTGACCGCGGCAATGTCGACGTGTGTTTGGCATCGACGTTTGTGATGACGCAGGCGGCTGATGTTGGTGATCGTAATGTGTTCATTGACTGATGATCATGATGATTGTGATGAGGTGGCGAGATGTTAACTACCTCGCCTGGTATGCAGGAGGTCGTGGTTTCGATCAAAACCCTGACGCCTGCTGTATATTTGTAGTTTTCCACGTCTCTCTCCCCGTGGTCGTGTGGATTTGTCTCCGGGTCCTCCAGTTTTTCTTTCCACATTTAGAATTATGATTACGTTTTCAGTATTTGGCTGCTATACATTTCCACACGACAAGCCAATTCGTTGAGCTATCATCTGCGACCAGGTCGCTTCTGTAAAAGAGCTATCCACCTCAGTGGACCTTAGCATGTAAAATAAAAAAATAGTTTCGTAAAAAATAGTTTAGTTTGATTTGTGAGGAGGTGATGAGTGTGGTGAACAAGCTGACGATTTCTGGCCGCGGTGTCTCTTCCCAGGCTTGGCTGACTACCATGGTGCCCACGTGTCTGGCTATGAAGATGATACTCAAACTGAAGAAGGGCATACGCGCTCGCTACCTCAAGAAATACGGGAAGAAGTGATCATCACCACGGGCTAGCCCAACTCGTCCTGCGCACACACGCACGCACCCCTCTTCCTGCCGCTTCATAGCGACTTGTGTTCAAAAGTGAGAGCGTCGACTTGTGCGTGAAGGAGTTGATCATCGTTTAGTTTCTCCTTCAAACGTTTTTTTCTTTCGAGGGTAATCCAACGACGGAATGCGGAGTAGACAAAGACGGGCATACACCGACAGTATACAATAAACTATGCAGTAAGGATGAGATGGTACAAGCAAGACAAAAACAATTGATTATTTGATGGAATTGCGACCCCTCCAATCTTGACGTTTCTTGGCATGATTGTAGTTTGGTGAATAGTTACATTCCTAGGAGCGACAGCGCTGGGCACGTGTGAATGAGTTAGGTGCTTCTGTCGCATGCTTGATTTGCGCCGCTATGTGTGTGCGCTTGCGTTTACGTGTGTTGTATTAGAACAGGTAGTCAGTCATAGCACTTGCCCCTTATAATCTGCAAGGCTACCTTGGGTGAATAGGAGTTTGTCTTCTGTTTTGGGGCTTTGGTTTATGCTAATTGTGGTGTTGGTTTTAAAGCTAAACATTTGAGCTGCATTGCACTATTAATCAACTGGTTAATTCACCTCACTGTGAAATTGCTTCTGTAGTGAGAATTATAGCGTTGAGTTACCACCATAGTTTAATCGCAGCTTTGGTTAAGGGCAACGTGGGATAACCGCTGCTTGGATGGCTTACAATAGTGGGCTAGCTGTTCGTGAGACTGAAACGTAAAACAAAAAATGTGGTTTAATTTAAGCGACGCAAGTGTCTTGTGTCAGGGGAAGCGAACGTTTTGCGCGTCGTCGAGCGTTTAAACTTTGGGGTTGCGAGCAGCCGCAGCGTTGTGCACTTGGACAAGCTCGGGGAATGGTTCCGAGTCGTGCGGCGCGTGCGACAGCAGGTGTCGCTGGAGGAAACTATAAAGTCGCGTTTAGTTTGTGTGTGTGCCGGATGCGGTGATTGGCGGCGGTAAAAGGAAGGCTTCGTCGGTTTGTTTTGTGCAGCCGGTGCAGAGTCGAGGGGGAATTAAAAGAACGTGGATTGAAACGAGTCGATTTGTTTTACGTGGGTGAGAAACTTTTGAGCCTCGAAGCTGATTTGCAAGCATGGCCTGTTGGGGGGTGGACCTTGGTGGAGGAAAAAAAATAAGTTACAGCAAATCGTCAACATTGCAGACACCGAGGAAGGAAACGCATTTGATGAATTTAAACATAAGAATATGTTTTACCCTTTGTGGCATTAAAACAGGTGTTGTGTTAAGATGTTCAAACACCAAATGGGAACCTTTTGCAAGTCATCAAGTCACTGCATTAACCCCACACAACAGTACTTGTGGTGAACATGCAGACACAACATGCTCTTCTTATTCTTGGTTCTTTCGGTAAAGTCACGTAGAAGGGAAACAATAAAATAATACAAATATAAAACAATACAATTCTCACGATGTTTCGACTGCAACACAAGCAATCGTCATCAGATGTGAAAAACAGCAAGAAAATGTTCTTGCCGTGTCGTGAGAATTTTTTTATTTTGTATTTTTATTATTTTATTGCTTTATCTTTTTATTATTTTTTTGTTTCCCTTCTACGTGACTTTACCGAAAGAACCAAGAATATGAATCCCTGCAGTCACGAAAGCTTTCAATCAAAATTTAAAAACATGCTCTGATAATATTTGGAATTGTCTACTGAGGCATCTGATTTATTGCCAGAAGGGTAAAACCTTTGATACTGGCAAAAAGGTCCCATTTTGAAGCATTTGAAGAACTTCACCGTTTAAGTGCAAGCACCATTCAAGTATCACTGGCAGCAGCTAACGCAGAATTATCACGCTAACTCACGCCGGGAGGTTCGCTTATAAATCACTCCTGCCCAAATTGTGAATTTATGGGGAATCGTCGAGTTTTCTTTATTTAAATTTATGATATCTAAATTATGATGTAGTGGAAACTGGCAGGATATTAGCACACCTCTTGGGAGGAGAATTTTATAGTGTGCCTATATAGAGCTTGTGCTGACCTTTGCATATGACAGACAAATAAAATTCCTGCTGATTGCCTAAACAAGTCCAGCTGTGCTTATATCCGAAGTGTGTTGTATAGGAAATGGCCTTTTGCCCCCACCTCACCCATCTTTGTGAAACATTGACTCCTCTACTTAAGAACGAGGTCGGTTCCAGAGGTCTGTGTTCGTAAGTCGATTTCTTCGTAAGTCCAACTTTACTCCCGTCAATTCCGAACGTGTTGTACGGCATGTACACTAAAACACGGGGAATGTCTTTACAAGTTGTAAAAAATCCCGTAGATGTAGATGCCACTGGTTGTTCACGTTCTGCAGGTGGAGACTGCCACCACCGTCATCTGTCGCACGGCTGTTGAACTTTCGACTCTCGGTCCGACCAGGCAACTGGACACACGGACATGTTTGTTCGTATCTCTGAAAGTTCGCAAGTCGAATGTTCGTGAGTGGAGGAGCCCTCTCCATCCTGTGGACCCCTGGCACAGTTGTACTGCCTACGCAGCTTGCCTCAGAAGTCGCAAACGGGTTTTGATTCCTTACCCGTACCCGGCCGCACCAGGGTCGAACACGGGTACCCTACCCGATACCCGGCTACCCGTACCCGGCCGGGTATCGGGTAGGGTACGGGTACCCGATTTCGAACTCTGGGATGAAGCCATGTTGCAGGTGCGGGTGGGTTGATTCTAGGAACTTGAATTGTGAGAAGAGACAAGACGTTGGGAACTGAGTGACAAACGGTGACTCACCAGTGACTCACAGCCTACCCGTACCCGGCCGCACCAGGGTCGCAAACGGGTACCGGTACGGGTAGCCGGGTATCGGGTAGGGTACGGGTATCGGGTACCCGGTTGCGACTTCTGGCTTGCTTACACCAACAAACCGACAGTACGGAGCTACGCGAAGCACTGAAACCATGGGATGGATTCACTCGCCCTTGCTGGCTTCACATGGGTAGAGGAGGAAAGTTCACTTTTGCTGCCTGATCTTTTGATGAAAACCTGCCAATCAATGCCTTCGTCGCCAAGGATGGACCAAAAACTGTCCACGAGTTTTTATTTTGGCCGTTTCAGCGACCTGCGAACCTGGCTCAAAATCTTGAATATTTATCCTGGAGGAGGAATCCGATGAGCTGCTATAAAACGCTTTCACAGATGTCTAGAACGTTACAACAACAAACTATGATAAAAAAAATGCAATATGAATGCAAAGTATAGGAAATGTAAACAAATCACCCCCCTCGTCACGGCGTCACAAAAAGTCAGACCCCCCTCAAATATGACGTCACAAAGCTCTGCCCCTCCCCCAAAACCATTAAACATGCTTCAAATCGCTTTAAACTATTGTCATTGTAGTGCGTATTTAATGTGGCGCTGCACTCTGATGTTGGAGGAGTGTTATAACAATTCCATATTCATTTAAAGTTGCGCATTTTGATGTGACGTCACATTTCTCACCACCCCCCCTCGTCACACATCGTCACACATGTCTGACCCCCGCCCCCCAGGTGCGTGACGTCATTTATGGACGGCCCCTAACCCCTCGCCCTCTTCCAGGGCACTCGTCGAATCCGTCTCGGCCAGTAGGCGGCTCTTGTCAGTGATGATTAAACTCATTTATTTAGAACTGCTTTTGCGTTTAGTTTGTTGTCCTTCCCCCCGCACCTGCGATTAGCACGATTGGGTTACGTACGGCGCGAAAGAAGTTCAGCATTCAACATACATAATGGACAAGTCTCACCTCGCACTCGTCACACACAAAGTGCCTGCCACGAATGTCCCACAATACTTTGCTGAGCTCATCAAGGAGCATGAACCATCACGCGAACTGCGCTCATCCTCGCAGTAGCAGCAGCGGATTGTGGCTCGCCATCAATGCGCTTCTGCGGCCGTCTGGAACGCTCTTCCGAAATGAGGAATCCACCAGAGCGATGCGCTTTTAGATTTAGTTTGAACACTCATTTCTTTAGAACTGCGTTTTGTGTGTAGTTTCTTGTCAATCCCTTGCATCTCAGATTTAGCACGGTTGGCTACGTACGGTGCGAAAGAAGTCCAACGTACAGCAGCAGTGCATATCCTCGCCCGGCAAAGAGAGTCCGGTTGCTGCTGAGTCAATGTCGCCCTCTAGTGGAGGACGAAGATTTGAACTTTATAAAGAGTAGCAGCGGTTTCAGATCGTGACGAGCGGGGGTTGGCGTGTCGCCTCGGAAACGCAAGGCTCACTTTTCCTCGTGTCCGCTTCGCCGGGAAAGCTTCGCCTACGATCAAGACTCATGTCCATGTGTGGGCTGCCTCGGCATGTGCTGGCGATCTAACTCCCTCAAGCTGGTGTACAGGAGGGCATGGGTTCAATCCAGACCGTGACGCCTGCTGCTGTATATTTGGAGTTTGCCTGCGTGTGTGTGTGTCTCTATCACTCCTCCCCGTGGTCGCGTGGATATTTCTCCCTCCACATTTCGAAACGACACGCGTTTCGAGTATCTGGCTGCTATAAATGTTCACATGATTCGTTGAGCTATCATTTGCGGCCAGGTCGCTTTTTCTTCTTGATTCTTTCGGTAAAGTCACGTAGAAGGGAAATTAATAAATAATAAAATAATACAAATAAAACAAAATAATTCTCACGACGTTTCGGCCACAACGCAAGCAGCCGTCCTCAGGTGAAGACCAGGCCTGTCGGGGAGACAGCGTCATTCATTATTTTGTTATGTTTTATTTTTATTATGTTTTATTATTTTATTATTTCCCTTCTACGTGACTTTACCGAAAGAACCAAGAAGATGAATCCCTGCAGTCACGAAAGCTTTAAATCGAAATTCAGGTCGCTTCTGTTATAACCCCTCCCCCCCCCTCAAGTGTCACATCTGACACCGTGACGTCAAAGCGCGCCCCCCCCTCCTTCCCGCCCCCGATTCGCGGGGCCCGAGGCAGTCACCCCGATTCGCCGTGCCCTCGGGACGGCTGTGATTGTGGAGATCGTGTTACCGTACTACCACACGGTGCTGGATTAGCACGGGATAGGTCCGGTGTCAGAGATGGATGTTCCCCGTTGTCACGACGCTTTTTGTTTAAAACGGGGGGGGGGGGGGGGAATGTTGTCCCCCAGGTTTGCAATGTTTCGCCTTGGCGCACCGGGCGGTCGAGCCGAAGCTTCGTGTTCTGCACCCTGTCGGGAAGAGCGCGAGTCGCTCTTGGAGAGATCGCGAGAAAAATACGAATAATTTAAATTGATGGATTTAATAGGTGAGAGACGTGATCGAGTCTTTAGCCGAGAGCGGGGGTCGTGATGCACGCCGAACTCGTCTGGAGAGAAACATCTGGAAGTGATGAATGTCGCGGGTGATACCAGGCCGTACACAATTGTCGGCCAGGGGCGGTGTGGTTTGTGTGCCGCATTTAATAACTTGAACCGTGGCCAAATATACCAACTCCACTGATTAACACGCTGGTACCAGCGTCAGCACCAAAGACAAAGATCCCCCGTATAGCCTTAACAGACTGCTGGGGCAAGTGCTGTGAGCGAGCACCAATGAAGGCTGGCACGGCGCACGAACCGGTGGGTGGCCAACACCACGCCCGGCCGCCTTTGTCTCACCAGCGACGATGTCACTCATTTGAGGCTGAGCCGACCTAGGGCGGGAGGGCAAGGACCGAATGGGATAACCGTTACCGGTGTTGCGCCAACTCGAGTCGCCGGGTTCATCGCGCAGCGCCGCTAACCGCTACACTACCGCTCTACAGCATCACCACCAGCCCCACCACCACCACCGGCCCCACCACCACCACCACCATCAGTCGGAGCACCGATAGCAACAACCTGCAGCGCCAGGGCCATAACCAGCGCCGACCTCCAGCGCAACCATGAGCGCACGCTACCTCGCACGTACGCACGCCGGCGAGGAGATAGCGCGTTATCTGGCGAGGACGTGTGCGATGGATAAGGACGGTCGCTCCGTCTGTCGGTTAGCTTGGGTGGGGGTTGGGTTGGTGGTGGTGGTGGTAGGGGTGTGTGGTGTGTGCGTGCGGGGAGGTGAGGGTGCAGCAGGGGGGTGGGATAGTCGTCCGTGGTTAAAACTTAAAACATCACCAATTCCCCATCACCGCCACCGCTCATCCTCCGCTCAGCTTCTGCGGGCTCTCGCTCACTCACTTCATTCTGACGAGTCGCATTCACCGACGCATATGCTGTGGGGGGGGGGGGGTCATGCGTAAAGGGATGCAGCGTGAGTCGAGGAGTTGGGACGAGCTTGCGGCTCCCACGACTGCATGAGCCACGCGCCACGTTTCTCGCGCGTCCAGACGGGTAAGAGAGAGGGAGAGAGAAATTGCGTTCGTTGTGAGATGATGTCTTCTTGGTTCTTTCGGTAAAGTCACGTAGAATGGAAATAATAAAATAATCAAATGAAAAATAAATCTTTTATGATCAAATATTTATTATATTTATTATAAAATATTTTATTATGTTTTATTTTTATTATTTCCATTCTACGTGACTTTACCTAAATAATCAAGAAGATGAATCCCTGCAGTCACGAAAGCTTTCAATCGAAAAAGAAAATGATGTGTTTATTACCTGGTTTAGGGCTGCGATGTGTGGATCTGTCACCTCTCCTGTTGCCTCGTGGTCTGACTTCCCTCGTCCCATCAATCGCAGGGGTTTCTGATTGATATGCGAGCTGTCCCGAGTGACACTTCACGTGTTCAGAGTGTAGCGGCAATTGTAAATGTTGTGGTGTTTTTGCTCTTCTAACGCAGCGGTGTGCTGAGCTCCTACCTAATTGGCACGCTTTGTTTACGTGACAAAGCTTATTAAGTTGGCTGTGTCGGGTGGTGGCGGGTTAACGACACATTTATACTTTTATTGTAGATAATATTGTTTCGCGAAAGCCGACGTGTTAGACTCTTTAAAGTGTGCTTTTAAAACAGTGCCGCGAAGCACGGAACTACATTGCATAATATATATGTTATTGCATTTATAACACACGTTATGTAACTTATACTGTCAGTGTATTACATGAATACATGTCGCCCCGACGAACCACTAGTGATGT